CTGTTTAATTCCTGTCATAATTTAGTTTTGTAAGAAGTCCTGGTTGTAAAAAACATAGATTAGAAAAAGTAAAACTAGATGGTAAAACGTGAATGAAACAAATGGAGTTTCACTGTAGTAACATCATTACTTACATCTTAATCATATCTACCATTGACGATACACAGTAACTCAGCTAGAAATTGCCATAGTGCTACTGTTTTCTTCTGATGACTCATGCCCTCACTATAGCTTAGAAAATACCAGCCAAGACTCAGTATGAACAAATAAGCCTTGAATATTTTCCATGTGTTTAGAAGTCTGCAGAGTCCTAACCCATAAAAGCTGCATGGTTCCAATAAATTGATTATTAGAATGGTCAAAATATTTAATTAACTTGGAATATTTTGTGGGGTTAAGCAAGCATTTACACGTACAGAAAATTTAACATCTTCAATAAACCGTAACCTGCTTAACAAGTTGCTAACAATCTATGCTATTAAACACACACAAAGCTATCCTAGGAATTTACCTGTCTCTCACTGACATTCTTGCACTCCTTACAAACAATCTGGTTAACAACAGTCCCATGGTACAACCGATTAATAAGGTCATGGCCAGAAGTCCCCACAAGGGAAGTTTCCAAAGCACTGAACAGAATCCGATTTAACTCTTGTACATCATGTTGTCTCATCTCCTGCAAGACAACACAGGACACATTTTTAAAAAAAGGGTTTATTAGTGCAGTCTCCTGCTTTTCATATTATGATGACTAAAGCATTTTCTAAAAGCAATAATCAAAAGTTACATTAGAGACATAACAAAGGCCTTAAAAGGAAGCAAGATACAATGTGAGAGTTGCCTACTACCAAGAGAGGAATACTGTGCTAACTTAAAAGTTTGTTTTTCCCCCCTACTTCTTTCCAGCCTTAATTTACTTCCATTATTTATGCTACAAGCATGCATAACGTAAACCAGGTCATACACTCTACTCCCACTGAACTCAGTGGGACTATTCCCTTTCATAAAGTAAGCGCCTAATTATTTGAAGGACTTGGAGCCTTAAGTCATCAGGCAAACAGTATTGCTGCAAAAAATGAAAAACTACAGAAATATTTTAAAAATATATTTTATATCTGTAGAAACCCATTTTCTAGTTCTCCATAGGAAATAGTCAATATGTGCTTTCAGTGGCGATGCAGACAAAAAAAGAATAATATTTGCCAACTTAAAAATATATTTCCCCAGCTTGAAAAATTCTAAACTTTCTCACATGTCAAAATATTTCAAGTCTCCAAGAGTCATCCTCTCCCTCTTTTGGAAGAAACTCTTACAAGCTGTTGTCCTTACAGATACCATACTGTACCTCATTGCTGTTCCATCCAAAGCTCTCAGTGAGGTCTGTTGTAGATGCAGCCTGCTGATCTAAGAGCAAAAGCTGAGCAAATAATCGTTGTAACTGTAATGGAATTATTCGAACCTAAATGTTTAAAAAAAAAAAAGGTTTCAGGAAGCAACTTCAAAACCAGTACTTTAAATAAAATGAATTAGGATTTAGCACAGAAGTGAGAATAAGCCACCATCAACCCAGTAGCACTTGTGTTCTAATTATAACTTGGCCTACTTCACAATTCTATAAACATGGATACATCTTTCCAAAATCTACATTCATCCTTAAGTATCTCTGAGAAATTTAAATTCATTATTTCAATGGTGGTAAATTAATATACAGAAAGAAAAACAATTAACTTAAATTTAAGCTATCATAATATAAACAGTAACTTTCTTTTGTATTTTGCACATTTTAGTACCTCAAAAAACAAAAGAACATGGCCTTCGGAGATTTAATTAAATCATAGCTAGGACAGCTACCTATTGTAGCTTTGATTTACAGAGAAAACTCACTTCACCAACAACTTGCTTCTATCACTTTAAACAGAGAATACAGAAACAAAATCTGTGTTCCAATGCTAGTAAGCATTTTAAAAATAAAAATTAGGCACCATCCTGTAATGTCTTGTGCATAGGTAGACCACTACATCTGCAAGGCTCCAGAAGGATGCAGCAGTCCCACAAACAAGAAGTCACAGAATTGGAGCCTTAATTAGTCATAAAGAAAATATGGAACAGTACTGTACAAGTTTTGGGCCTGCTCTTGCTCCGACTGAAGTCAGAAGGACTTTTGCTATTGGATTCTATGGGAGTAGGATCAAGATCTAGAATATTATTGCAAAATAACTGGCGCACCGGCTTTCACCAGTGCACAAAACAGAATGCATTGACAAACCAAATTATTGGCTTCCCATCAATTATTATATTTCCCAGTATGGTCAGAAATTGTATTCCCTCTTGATTCAAACCCTCATTTTTCTGAATCAACCTACAGCAGAGGATAATAAGAGTAGATTTTAACACCTTTACATCTGGTTTATTGATATCTTCCAGAGAACCAAGTTCTTCAGGGCCTAGGGAAAACAGTGCTTCTGTAATGGAAAAGGAAACATGACTTTAAAATAAAGAAGCTTTACATTCATATGTATCGTATTTTAGTTTATTTGTATGAAAAGTTATCAAAAACATCCCTGGAAATCCTTAAGTATCTTAAGAAGTTTATTCCTGAAAGACATTTGCACTTTTTTGTACCAATTTATTTTCACTCCATCCAAATTAAATACCAATATTAAGAAACATACAAATGGTTAGATGTCTTGAAGAACTGCTTCTTCATAAGTTAATGGTTATGTGAAAAGTGAATGAGAGGCAATGGCCAAAGTGAAACTGCATCCTATTTTAAATAAGAAATTATAAGCACATTTGTGTCTCTATGATGTGAATTATACATAAAATATCTAGACAGGATATATGTCTTTTTGCAGAAGTGAGAGATATTAACTTTATGGACCACCTGCTCTTTGTTTTCATCTTGGCTGCTACAGCTTATCTGGAGTGAACAGTGCTTTTGAAATTGGCTTTCCATTAGTAATGTTTTATAAATAACTGACAACAACTGTCAATGCAGAATTTCTAGTAAAATATTGTTAGTATGACATGTTGCTGGTAGAGACAAAAGCAGGGACTTTTGCTCTTTTGGACATTCAGAGAGCCTTCTACAGTTTTGACTGGACTTTCTCTGTTCTGATTGGTTATTTACTTCAATCCTACCCTCCCTCCACCTCAGCTTTACTCCATACCTGCCCCTCTTCTTTCCTGCCCTTCCCTTTTCTTTTATTCAGTGTATCCCTTCATAAATGAACCCCCGCCCCACCCCAAAGAAGGGGGGGAAACGTGGAACACAGTGTTTGCTGCCCTCACATCTTTCACTCTGCTAGTGTGTTCTACTCCTCCCTCCACTCTGGGTCTGTCTGGTCTATTTAGCTTGACAGCTCTTTGGAGGGAAGGACTGTCTTCTTTTCTGTGTTTGTACAGTAGCTGGCACAATGGGGTTGGCCCTTAGGCACTACAGTAATAAACATGGTTAATTTTAAAGTTACTTTAGAAAGTTATATTTTAAGATACAGTACCTCTAAATTCTGGCGTGAAATGCAAAGTCTGGAGAAGGGAATTGAGGTAGCAGGTCCCGCCCTGATTTTTGATACCACTTAATTTGGTGAACTCCCTTGGAGCGGGAGGCTCGGTATCTTTGGACTTTGATTTCTTCCCTTTTCCACATTGATTATTTGACACAAAGGAAAAGTCCTCTTCAAATAAGTCTCCAAACATTGTGAAGCCACAGTATAGTCCTTCGGATATCCAACATAAGTCACCATTTAGCACAAAAACTGCAATATTAATTGGTTATGCAGTACATGCTAATTGAATCTTGAGCATAGTATTTTCAAAAGTTCTCAGCCTGGGCCTAACTATGTCACCACTGAAATCACTGATGCCTCCATTCTATCTAGTCATCTATTATAAATCACAAATATCAACTTTTAGCTATAAAACAAGATAATCTTAAAGTTTTTATTGTTTTTGTACTTTTTAATGTCCACAGATTTCGGTTCCTGGTCCTTTTGTAATTTTATTCCAATCTTAGCAACCAAAGCCTTGTCTATACACAAACTTGCACCAAAATACCAGCTTTTATTTATACTGTTGAGGTTTAGTTGCAAGTCTGTACACGGATACTTATTTTGGAATAAAAAACACCCTATTTTGATTTTGGTAAAAACAGGGCATGTCTTCCAAAACAAGAGGGTCCATGCACAGACTTGTAACCGAACAACAAACGGTATCAATCAAAACCAATGTAGTTAGTTGGATGCAAGTGTGTGTGTGGTGCTTGAAAGTGTGTGTTTAGACAGCGCCAAGCCAATGTAATCAGGCTTGGCAGAATATGATTTTTTATTTTTGTTACAATTTCGACAGAGAACATCATTTTAAAGCCCCCTCCCCCATGTTTATCTATTTTGTGCTCGCGGTTGCACAAAATCATGGGTTTTAACAAGCACTTTCCCCGGTTTTTCCGGGGGGAGGTGTTCATTCACAGTTGTAGGGCCGTAGGGGGAGGGAGGCCTGAAATCCCCCCCACAGCCCAGCCACAAGCCCTGCGCCGTGCCGGGCAGGTAGGACGCAAACGCCCCGCTGAGAGGGGTCTGGTCCCCAGGCCGCGCAGGGGAAGGCGCACCACAGGCCCCCCCATGACGTGACGGGGATGCGTGTCAGCCCCGAGCTGCAGCTTCCCCGCCGTGGCCCCTCCACCGCCCGCGCGTGTGGGGGGGGGGGGGGGTCCCCCCCCCCCCCCCCCCCGGCAGGGGGCTCCGACGGGGAGTCCCCATCCCCGCTCACCGCTCACTGCCGGGACGTGGAGCCACACTTGAGCTGACACCAGCACCGCCGCCAGCTCGCCGCCGCCATGGTTGTTTTGGCTCCGTTGTCAGCCGGCTCCCGCGGGGCCCGATGGGCGTTGGAGTCTTTCCCTGGGCTCCTGGGCGCCCGCACCGCCGCCTCCCGCAGCCCGGACTACAACTCCCACAAGCCACCAGGCCACGCGCCGGCTGAAGTCAGCGGCCACCAACCAACCCCTCGGCGTCCGCTAGGGAAACTGTGGGTGGCCCCGCAGCACCCTCGGTAGCGGCATCTGACCGGAAGCGGCGGGCGCAACGCCTTCTGGGAGGTGTAGTTGACTAGGAGTGGGTGCCGCAAGGCCCTCTGTAGTTGCCTGGGAGTAGTTACCGCATTACCTGCTGGGAGATGTAGTCTCTCTAGCGAAAGGTGGCTACTCTGTGAGAATTAATCTAATGGGGAAAAATTTCCAAAAATGTGGTACAAAGACTCATAAAATGCCACCCATCCCTTCTCAACACAGGCGAGGATTTTTTAAATATATAAAAACGTCCGGAAATATGGACATATGATAACCCTACCCACTGCCCCCTCTCCTCTTGGGGTGTCAGCTCGCTCAGCCTGCTGATTGCAACCCCGCCGTGCTGCTGCAACCCTGCGCCCCACGGTGGCGTCTCTGCAGCCAGCTGCTGGTGCGGGGGACCCGCGGCCACTTCTCCCTCCTCCGAGCATCCCCCGCGGCTCTGGCAGAGCCTCAGTCTCCCCCCTCCGTCCCGGCCGTGCAAGGAGCCCCGCCAGCGGTCTGTGCAGCCGGGGCTGCCTCCCCCCCGGCAGAGCCACTGCCTGGGGGCGGGTCCCGGCGCAGGGGAAAGTTTCTCGGCGCGCGGAGGCGGCTCCCGGGAGCCCGAACTCCTCCACCCGGGAAGGGCCCACGCTGCAGCGCCTCCCGCAGCCTCGGCTGCCGCAGCCTCGCCGGGTCCAGCTGGGACCAGGCTCCCCTGAGGGAGGTGAAGGGTGGGGGACTCTGAGGTGGGGGGGATTCTGAGGGTAGGGGGCTATGGGAGGGGGTGGAGGCTCTGAGGCAGGGGCTGTGGACAGTGGGGGGACTGCGGAGGGCAAGCTCTCAGGAGAGGGGGCACTGAGGAAGGAGAAGGCTGAGGATGGGCCCTGTGGAGAGCGGGTGGCTCTGGGGTGAGGCCTGGGGGGTCCGGGCGGCAGGCAGCTCTGGGGTGAGGCCTGGGGGGGTCCGGCGGGCGGCGGCTCTGGGGTAGGGTTACCATACGTCCTGATTTTCCCAGACATGTCCGGCTTTTTGGTCCTCAAATCCCCATCCGGGAGGAATTTCCAAAAAGCCGGACCTGTCCGGGAAAATAGGGAGGCATGCTAAGGGCACCTCCTCCCCGGGCTCCAACTTTCCCAGCTCCCACCGCTCTCCACCACAGCGGGGAGCCGAAGCAACTTCCCCAGCGCAGCAGCAGCCGCCGCCAGGGGGCGGGAGGGAGAAGGGGGAATGCGGGGTGCTCAGGGGAGGGGGTGGAGTTGGGGCAGGGCCAGGGGCCCGTGGAGTGTCCTCTTTTTGCAGTATTGAAATATGGTAACCCTATTGAAACTAGAATCTATCAAACACATGTGTTGCCAAGTCCTGCAGTGTTATCATGAGTCTTGTGATATTTAGTGATTTTCTTAACTCAGTTCCTGGAGTTGGAAGGTTGCAGTAGAATCTCATCTCCCCCTTCGCCCCCCACCCACCCACCCACCCACCCACCAACCAATCCCCCCCAAAAAAGCCAGTGGGAGAGTTTTCTAGCACTGGAGATTGGAGGCAGAGCTTGAAAGCGAGAAGTAAATATACCAGAAGGCAAATAAAGTGACCCAATGTTCATTTATTTTTAAATAATGGTTTTTAATCCAATCTCATGATTTTGGGACACTGTAATGGGGTTGGGACTCACCACCGCCGTGCCTCCTACTGGTTGTCTTGGGAATTAGCTCAGTCCAGTGGAGCGCCCCCTCCTGGTGGTGTCCCGACCGTCATCTCGCCCTCGGTTGGCGTGTCTGAGCCCACGTCGCTCACCAATTCGCGGTGTCCTCTTCGGGACCACTGCCCTCCGGCAGTGCCCCTCAGTCCTTCCCCCCCCCCCGGGGGGGGGGGGGGGGGGTGTCAATCAGCAGTCTCCTTGTCCAGCCACCGTAATCAACCACACACCCCAAAGTCTAATCCCTCCCGTCAGGGATCTGGCGTGGTCTGTACTGGCCGCTCCCTATGGCCAATAGCTAGATATACTGCAAGGGGATGGGGGGGACCCAGGCCCACCCTCTACTCTGGGTCCTGACCCAGGGACCCTCGGGCAACAGCCTCACTGTCCTCCTTCTCTCCCCTCATCTGTCCGCCTCCCTGGGCTGCTTCCCCTACCACCCCTTGCACCCCCTAGGCCCTTCCAATCAGGGCTTGCCTGGCAGGCCTCAGGCTAGAGCTCCCTTCTGCTCCCTGAGCCTGGCCAGCACTGCACTGTCCGCAGTGCTAGTCTCCCAGTTTGGAGATAGACCTTCCCCTCTCAAAGGCCTGGGACAGACTGCCTGCTCTCTCCCTGAGCAGCCTTTTATAGGGCTGAGCCTGGCCCTGATTGGCTGTCTCCAACCTGGGCCCTGATTGGCTCCCAGTAAGCCCTTCTCCCATTGGCTGTGTGTCTGCACAGGCCCAGTGGCCTGCCGCAGCCCATAATCTCAGCGAGTGGGACAGCCGCCCCACTACAGACACCTGTCTTGTAATTTTTCAGTGCAGGGGCTTGGCAATAATCAACTGCTGACAATGTGCTCTGTGCTGTTCAAAATGCAGGAATAAAGATGGTCCCTGCTCCAAAGAGGTTATAATGCGGAAGGAGTTTGCAGTGTAGAATCTTCGATTTACTAGCAAAGGCTATTCCAAAACAATCCACAGGATGAAAGGCCCAGGGAAGCAGAGCAGTTAACGGGAGCAGAGGGAAACCTTCCCATAGTTGGGACCCTCCTTCCAGATGGTGCTGGGGTTGCCTCTCGCACTGAGGTTACCTCTCAGGGGGAGGGAACTCCAGTTGCTAGGAAAAGGCAGGTGTTAGTAATGGGAGATTCGATCATTAGAAACGTAGATAGCTGGGTTTGTGATGACTGGGAGAACCGTATGGTGACTAGCCTGCCTGGTGCGAAGGTGATCTCTCGAGGCATCTAGACAGACTTATGTGTAGTGCTGGGGAGGAGCCAGTGGTCGTGGTACATGTAGGTACCAATGACATAGGGAAGGGTAGGAGAGATGTCCTGGAGGCCAAATTTAGGCTGCTAGGGAAGAGACTGAAATCCAGGACCTCTATGGTGGCATTCTCAGAAATGCTCCCAGTTCCACGCGCAGGGCCAGGTAGGAAGGCAGAGCATCAGAGTCTCAATGCGTGGATGAGACGATGGTGTAGGGAGGAGGAGTTTACATTCATTAGGAACTGGGAAAACTTTTGGGATGGGGGAGCCTATACAGGAGAGATGGGCTCCACCTAAACCAAAGTGGAATCAGACTGCTGGCACTAAACATTAAAAAGGTTGTAGAGCAGTTTTTAAACTAGGAGATGGGGGAAAGCCGACTGCTGCAGAGGAGCATGTGGCTCGGACAGAGACTTCTCTTAGGGGAGAGAGTCTATTGATAGAGAATCTCTAGGTTATAGTCAGGAGCAGAGGAAGGAAGAGGATAATGTAAGGGCCAGATCAGATGATAAACATTCACATAAAAAAGAATCTGACACATCAGAAAAGGGCAGACAAATAAATAGTGACAAGTTTTTAAAGTGCTTGTACACAAATTCTAGAAGTCTAAATAATAAGATGGGTGAACTAGAGTGCCTTGTGATAAAGGAGAATATTGATATAATAGGCATCACAGAAACCTGGTGGACTGAGAGCAATCGATGGGACACAATCATTCCGGGGTACAAAATATATCGGAAGGACAGAACAGGTCGTGCGCGGGGGGGAGTGGCACTATATGTGAAAGAAAATGTAGAATCAAATGAAGTAAAAATCTTAAGTGAATCCACATGTTCCATAGAATCTCTATGGATAGAAATTTCATGCTCTAATAAGAATATAACATTAGGGATCTATTATAGACCACCTGACCAGGACAGTGATAGTGATGATGAAATGCTAAGGGAAATTAGGCTATCAAAATTAAGAACTCAATAATAGTGGGGGATTTCAATTATCCCCATATTGACTGGGAACATTTCACTTCAGGATGAAATGCAGAGATAAAATTTCTCGATACTTTAAATGACTGCTTCATGGAGCAGCTGGTATGGGAACCCACAAGGAGAGAGGCAACTCTAGATTTAGTCCTGAGTGGAGCGCAGGAGCTGGTCCAAGAGGTAACTATAGCAGGGCCGCTTGGAAATAGTGACCATAACACAATAGCATTCAACATCCCTGTGGTGGGAAGAACATCTCAACAGCCCAACACTGTGGCATTTAATTTCAAAAGGGGGAACTATGCAAAAATGAGGGGGTTAGTTAAACAGAAGTTAAAAAGTACAGTGACTAAAGTGAAATCCCTGCAAGCTGCATGGGCGCTTTTTAAAGACACCATAATAGAGGCCCAACTTCAATGTATACCCCAAATTAAGAAACACAGTAAAAGAACTAAAAAAGAGCCACCATGGCTTAACAACCATGTAAAAGAAGCAGTGAGAGATAAAAAGACTTCCTTTAAAAAGTGGAAGTCAAATCTTAGTGAGGCAAATAGAAAGGAGCATAAACACTGCCTAATTAAGTGCAAGAATGTAATAAGAAAGCCAAAGAGGAGTTTGAAGAACGGCTAGCCAAAAACTCCAAAGGTAATAACAAAACGTTTTTAAGTACATCAGAAGCAGGAAGCCTGCTAAACAACCAGTGGGGCCCCTTGATGATCGAGACACAAAAGGAGCGCTTAAAGATGATAAAGTCATTGCGGAGAAACTAAATGGATTCTTTGCTTCAGTCTTCACGGCTGAGGATGTTAGGGAGATTCCCAAACCTGAGCCGGCTTTTGTAGGTGACAAATCTGAGGAACTGTCACAGATTAAAGTGTCACTAGAGGAGGTTTTGGAATTAATTGATAAACTTAAC